AGGAAGCTTTCTCAAAGCCTAACTGAGTTAGCTTTGAGAAAGCTTCCTGACAGGAGGCGAAACGTCAGCGGTACGTTTCATACCAGCACGGTTGAGTAACAATTAACTTGGTTATTTATATTATTCTACCAACCGAATGAACTTATTCAACATTAAAATAGTGCGAAATTTTTGCACCGATCGCGGTGCAACGTCACAACACGAAAACACAATGTCAATGGCAATGTAAAAAAACAATGTATAACCAAAGGCGCTCCATCTAAGATTTTCTAAGTCGCTCCATCTACAGAGAATCTAACCAGAGAAATTTTATACATTGTTTTTACATTGTTTCTTGCATTGGTTAAACATTGGTTATAACAAGTGCCCAGCTAATGCCACCAAAGCATATATATAATATGATATAATGCATCGACAAGATACCGCTCCCAAGAAAGTCGCCCGCTGTCAAGAAACTCCTGATGTCGCAGGTAAGGTTTTCTGTGTATGTGTGTGTGTGCGTGTGCGTGTGCGTGCGTGTAGTGTATCTGTGTGTGTCTATGTGTGCGTGTGTGTGTATGGGTTTGTGTATGCGTGTGTGTGTATGCGTGTGTGTGGTGGGTGTGTGTGTTTATGCGCGCGGTGTGTGTGTGTGTGTGTGGGTGTGTGTGTTGTGAGTGTGTGTGAGTGTGTGTGTGTGTGTGTGCGTGTGCTGGCGTGCTGTAGTGTATCTGTGTGTGTCTATGTGTGCGTGTGTGTGTATGCGTGTGTGTGTGTGTGTGTGTGTGTGTGTGTATGTGTTTGTGTATGCGTGTGTGTGTTGTGTGTGTGTGTGTGTGTGTGTGTGTTGTGTGTGTGTGTGTGTGTGTGTTTATGGCGCGGTGCCGGGGGCGGCGTGTGGTGTGTGTGTGCGCAGCGCGCGCGTTTGTGTGTGTATGGTGTGTGATGGGGTGGTGTGTGGTGATACATGTGTGTGTATGTGTATGTATGTGTTGTGTGTGGTGTGTGTGCTGTGTGTGCTGCTGCTGTGTGGTGTGGCGCGTGTGTGTGTGTGTGTGTGTCATTGCAGGAAAAAAATACACCGGGGGCGCAGCGGGCGATTTCGCCCCCCGAAATGCCAAAAAGAGCCCCCCGAAAACATGATATCGGGGGCGACCCCAAAAGCAAAAGTCGCCCTGGAAATCGATTGTCCAGGTCGGCCCGCGCCTTGCCGCTCTCGCTTGGCCCTCTGCGCTAGCGGCAGCCGGTTTGAATTCATGGTAGGGCCTACGGCGTGTGGCTTATCAAGTGTTTACCATTTAAGCATGCATGTGTGTACTGTACTGTATTGGCATTCAATCAAGCGCGCGCGCGCCGCCCACGCGATATATATACGTCTGTGTGTGTCTGGGCGCGTGCTTGCGTGTGTGCCTGCGCGCGTGCGTTGCGTGCGTGCTCTGTGTGTGCCTGCGGGCGTGCTTGCATGTGTGCCTGCGCGCCGTGCGTGTGCCTGTGTGTGCCGGTGTGCCAGCGGGCGTGCTTGCGTGCATGTGTGCGCGTGCGTGCGTGCCTGCGCGCGTGCGTGCCTGCATGCGTGCGTGCGGGTGTGCCTGCGGGCGTGCCTACGTAGACCCGTAGGACCAACGAACCCGTAGGATTATAGAAACGGTAATCCATGGAAAATCCTAATGAAATTCACACGTATATTTTCCCTGCCGGCACACTCGTGTGTCATTCCCAACTGTAGCTTTTTCGCCAATTCCCCGAAAGAGTTTTGCTGTCGCTCTCTCATATAGTCCAGCAATGCTCAACCCTCTACATTTTTAGTAGTGATTAGTACCACGCTGAAACAATGGTGCCCCCCCCCCCCCGTACTTCAATCAATGCCGCCCCTGCCAGCAGGCACGTACGGCGAGCGTCGATGCTGCACAGCGCATACACACGTGCCTCGCGGGGCCGCTTTCTCAAACCCCCTGAGCTTCCGGGGCCCTTACGCGGGCCAGGACCCCAGCCGCAAGAGACTTCGCGTATAAACAATCGATCCTCCTCGCTCGTACAGGCAGACACTCCACTATTTGCGCTAGCCGTAATAGTTCTATGTTTAGCTTCACTATTCAAGGTGCATTTGTGGTTGTGACTTGTGTGTGCGTGCGTGAGTGCGTGCGTACGTGTGTGTGGTGTGCAGGGGCGTAAATCCCGGGGGGATGGGGGCGATGCATCCCCCCCCGCTCTTGAAGGAGGGGGGGATGGCCTGTACAAATATCCCGCCCTGAGATTCAAAAAAAAAGAGAAAAAAAGAATAGCCAAAAAGTATGATTGCAAACATACAAAAACACAAGAAATTGTGAGAAATTGCAATTCTTACCTGTGTTTTAATACATGTATTATTACTATCAAGAGTGGATAATAGAGAAGAGTTTGTCACGGTTTTAACAGCGTTTTGCATAGTTTTCAACTAGTAAATAATCTATCAATATGTGAATAAATATATTCAAACTTTACCTTGTTTTCATCTATGATTCTCCTTCGTTCATATGACACCACCAATTTACCTGAAAATCGTATGTGTTCTTCAAAAAGTTAGTTGAATACGACACGGTTTCCCACAGTTTTCACGCGCATGGATGCATCTCTCCGACCCAACTTGTGTTATGGGACTAGTTTCTATTGTCTATGACGCGAACTTTGGGGGTCGCTATGGGATATTAGGCATCGAATTGTATTCAGCGTGCACAGCGTTTCCAGCGTGCCTAAAAATAAATGACGCCTCACGCGCAGCTAGCTAGCAGCTGATTCTCTTACGGCCCCCAGCGTACGCATAAGACATAGAACACTAGTGCCATAACAAAGTTGGGTCGGAGAGATGCATCCATGGCGTGAAAACGTGGGAAACCGTGTCGTATTCAACTACATTTTTGAAGAACACATACGATTTTCAGGTAAATTGATGGTGTCATATGACGAAGGGAGAATCATAGATGAAAACAAGGTAAAGTTTGAATATATTTATTCACATATTGATAGATTATTTACCAGTTGAAAACTATGCAAACGCTGTTAAAACCGTGACATACTCTTCTCTATTATCCACTCTTGTTACTATAATATAGTAACCTAACTGTGTACGCTCTCTGAAAAGTCATGAAAAGTGTTTTGAATCCTTACTTGTAGGGTTGAGTCTAGGGTTGAGATAGTGTTATCAGACATGAGAATATAGGCCCACAGTATGCGCTCAGATTGCAGGAAAATGGCTTAAATATTTTCAAAATTTTCCGCGGGGGCATGCCCCACACCCCCCTAGCACTGGCATGCCTACGGCACGTGGGCCTGCCTGCGGCAGCAGCAAGTTAATTTCGCCCCCGGCTATCGCCCGATCATCCCCCCACTCCTCCGGTACGGATTTACGCCCTCTGGTGGTGTGTGTGCGCCCCCGCGCGTGTGTATTAGCACTGTGCTTGTTGGTGTACATTTGAGGAAACAGCCCTGGAAAAAAGTCGCCTGGAAGGTGGGAAAGAGCCCATGGAAAATGAAAAAAGTAGACCCCGAAATTTTTGGTGGGGTTTGGCCAAAAAAGCTAGCCCCGGAAAAAAATTAATTAATTTTCACTGGTGTGTGTGTATGTGTGTGTGTTGTGTCGCTCGTGTGTGTGTGTGTGTGTGCTGTGTGTGTGTGTGTGTGGTGTGTCACAGCCATACTGTTTTCTGTTGTAATACGTGTAGTATCCAAAATATGGCATCGAGGCCCACGGAATAGGGAGAGGGCTAACTTATTTAGAATTGGATGTTGGCTGAGGCAGTTAGATGTAAATTGCCTCAGCACTGTCCGCCAGTTACTACATGTAGGTCACTGAAGCTGATATTGCTCTCGTCGTACATAAACACTAGAAGCACGATGATGCCCAGATAGCAGGTAGATTTAATAGTGCTAACAACTGCATAGTGACTGCTAGGCCATCTTCAGCCATCACAGGAGAGCCCCTAGCTCGCGATCTCTTAAACCCAGTTAACTGAGGCACCTAGTTTGCCACTTAGGTGCGCGCTAGCTTACAGTTAGTGATGGGATACTCACTACATCCCCATCACTAGCTAGGGTTATGCCTGTACACTGATATAGTGCATTCACAATCATTTTCAGATTATTGAAATGCCCTAGGTACACTGACATCATACGCGACAGATATAATGAAACTCACTATTAGTTTACAAGAGTACACACAGCCGTTACAAAACTTAGGATATGGATAACATACAAAGCTAGGGACATTCACAAGTGGGTAGACTACCCTCCTGTCCTGGGTTTATCTGCCCCGTCTAATCTCGAACGCCGACTGAGTATTACTGGTTCGTGACGTTTACTCTTGAATTTCCTTGCTGGCAACCTTACTCCGGCGCGTACCGCGGTCTTGCCTGCGACTGGAGTCTTCCTCTCTGGATCACGGTCCGTCCGCTACTGGGAATCCTGGGGCGACGGTGCTCACCTTGATCGTTAGCTGGAGTACCATAGCAGCCTTCACAGAAGCCTGGTTGGATCCTCATCGCACAGCTGTCTCAATCCGCCCTGTAGTTAGCTCGCGCAGATGGCTGCGTTTCGCTCAGTAGGCCGCTGCTA